TTGATTTTGAATTAGCCAATATGTGTGTGCAGCTTGCTAAGCAAACAGGTGAAATTAGCACTCCACCTTTTCATCTGAATATGGAAAACAACAACATAGCGGCCTCTATGGTTCTTACCATTTAGCATGTGTTTGTGAATTAGTTGTTCTAAATTCACAGGTGGGCGCGAGCATTGGCCACTAAAACAACAAAGAAAATCAAAGAAACTGAAGTAATTGTGGTGTAAAGTGGAAGTGATTCACTGGAAGTGGGATGTCTAAAAATGACCAAGAGACAGTGACTGGGTTTAAAAAAAGATCCTCACCTCACCTGTAGGTGAGATATTGGCAAGAACTTAAACTAAAAGTCACACATCTATCAAGAATGAAAAAGTATTTCATGGTTATTTCATGGTTTTACCAATTCATTAGTAACTAAATAGTTTCAAATATTGTTCATTATTAAGGTGTTATTTGATTAGCTTTAATAAGCTATGAGTAGGGCCAGTTTCTATAGTAAGCCTTTAAAAGGTTGGGCAAGGTTGGCAAGCTGCATTGTGACACGGTAACTGTAACTGCACTGGCCCATCTGTCACTGAAGGCTTAACCAACTGCTCTGAACCTCCTTTAGGATCTGACCTTCAGTGTCTTACTGGGTTTTAAGAGCTGGACCATGCTCAGCTGACCTGACAGAAAAACCAGATATCAGTGATAGAGCAGGATGATGATAGCATTCTTTTACTCAAAGCAGGCATAAAGGGTGTCATAAGAAAATCACAGGTGTGTAATATTTTGTTTTTGCACTTTCAAATTATTTAAATTTAAAATTGCTTGAGGTGTGTAATCTGACACAGTGAATGGTGTGCTTGCAGAAATGTTTGTCAAAGTTCTATCATATCTGTATACAACTGAATTATGACCGAAACCTCAGTGCTGCACAGCTGTCACGAGTCATCGCATATCTTGTAAGCATATTCTTATGTCTTTGTGAAGACTATGTGCTGATAGCCACCCAGACACTTTTAATAGATGCTTTTTTTTTTTTTATCAAGCAGTCTACCTAAATATGGTTTTGTTATTGTTTGTAAAGTTAAGTTGAGACCAAGGTAAGACCTACTGACACATTACATGTACAGAAGCAAAGGTACTTATGAACACAACTGTACTAATGACATTGAAAGACAGCAGCGCAGTTTTGTATTTGTACTGCTATTAATTTCTTCATAAAAAAAAACATTATTTATGAATAAAAAGGTGCGTGAGACTTTGTCAAAGACATTATTCTAATAAATGCACAGATACCAACTCTTCTGTTTCTGTCCGTCTCCTTCACTTCCTCTTCAGTCACTCCTTGTCTGATCATGATCTTGACAATGATGACATTGTTGTTGCAGCAGGCCTTGAAGAAGGAGATGGGCTCTGGACTGTCAGAGCTAAACGAGTAGCGCATGTGAGAGGTGACTGAATTGTCGAGGGGATAGAAGGAGTCATCTGAGGCAATGCTCTGTGTGTCTGAGCGATCGGGCAAGGTCTCAAAGTCCAACTCTTCAAATTCCTGGTAGATATCATCCTCATCCTCCCAGTAATTTCGAGTGTAATCGATTTCAAGTTCCTCATTATCTGCCTCTCTTGATTCCTCACTCTCATCGTCGTCTTTGCCAGCCTTGGTGATGGACATGACAGGAATATCCATATCCACGTTATTGGTTCTATACTCAGTCTTACTAATTCTGACTTCTCCAACCACTCCATTCTCTTGAACCTTTGAACCTTTACCTTGTTCCTCTGTTATTAGCACCATTTAAATCCTCCTCCGTCCAAAACACTCTTGGAAAATCCTTGTGGGAGCCAGAAGAAGTCTAGGAATTCTCAATTACCTTGGAGTCCATTGGCTCTCTGAAATATGATGATTCCTTCTACCCCCCAGGAAACTCAATCCTGCCAGTTTCCCGACTTCCATCAGTTTTTTGCTGTGTTGGATTTCCCAAACAAACAAGGACAATCCTTTATCACTACTGATAAGTCTTTGTCGGTGCCGAAGAGGTTAGGATTCCCGAAGACTCCAAAACACAGTGTCATCAAAGGCTTGATGGTGTGCATGATCAGTTGCTCTGGGCTGTTAAAGTGATGAAAAAAATAGTAAAGCAGAATAAAGCATCCTAATCTTTCTCTGATGATATTGTCAAATTTGCATTTTCAAAAAAAGTCAGAGAAAATTTTGAAATGCACGAAAGCCACTGCGCTTTTTCGTGTGACTCTTTGCAAAGGCACCACCAGCCCCGTTCATCAGATTGTATGATCATTGCACTGGAAATCCAACATGCAGCTTGAATTTTCCAAGTCTCGGTTAAAAGTTAAAGCTGAAGTTGTCTTTTTGAAAGCAGAAGAACCAGCGCGGTCGTATTGGTTCAAAACTGACACGACTGAGCAGTTAATCCCGTGTTTGCTCACGGGGGAACACTGGGTTTTCTTTGATGATCGCCAGCAGTGGGATCGGGAGAGAGATTCTGTTGAAGTACTACGTGGTAATCCAATTAGATTTCTCTCTAGCTCTAGCCATTTGGTTACATTCACCTCCCCAGAAACGTTCAAACGAAGACGTTTGAACGTCTTCTGCTTCAACACAATAAACTAAAACAAACAAGCACAAATAGAAAGGACTGTTGAAACTCAATAATTTTAACAATTAGGTTTCTTCTTAATAGAACAAAATAAGCATTACTCTTTTATTTCCACAAGAAAGGCTATTGAAAGCACATAAGACAAACCATATGGAAAATAAATGTAGCAGATATTATACTTAAAAGAAAACACCCCAGTGTCACAAGTGCAGCTGGTCAAGCTGACGCCATCTCCCCCACCTCTGCTCTCAACGTCTTCTGCACTTAACACTGCCAGCTTAAATTGGATTTCTCAGCCACATGATCTCATTTGTATACAGGGCACTTTGGAAGGACTGGAATCACTCAGGCCTAAGAGAGTTTATGAATGTCACCTTCAACAACAACTAAGCTACAGCCTAGTTTGTTACAATACACTTTATTCACATCACCTTGTGATACCAGCATTCCCTGGATAAATACATTATCTCTGACAAAGGACAAAAGTGTATCAAAAATAGCATTACAGGAGAAAAATCTCAACGTCTAGAGGTGGTTAAGTTATAGGCTTGGCTTTGTAAGTCATGTGATCCAAGCCATTTCTATTTTAAAACATCAGATTTTGAATAAATGGATCTGATTAACTAGATTTTTCAACTTTAATATTTCAACTGACATTAAAAACCTACCAAAGAGTCAATATGAACTCATTTTGGTGAGACTGTTACTTTCGGTTTTGCACCACCATGGCCGTATCATTTTACATGAATGCTAAATAACATGCTAAATAACTACAATAACATTTTGTGCACATATTTCTATGCAGTGTGTTGTAGTAACATTGACCTTCACTACTAACTGTGTTAGCATGGTAAAATTGCACATGATACACCTGTTTACTAAGCATACTGATTAGCATGCATTTTTGGTATGGCTGTGAACTAATTTTGTTAATCCAAAACTTTTCTTATCAGCAGTTGTAAGTAGCTGGAAATATCAACGAGTTAACGGCTGAAAAATTGCCATTTAGCTAGCTCTTGTACACTTACAGTAATCTCTTCCACAGCATGTCTTATAGCCTGTCTTCCTTCTCTCTCCCCAACCGGTCACAGCAGATGGCCCCGCCCCTCCCTGAGCCTGGTTCTGCCGGAGGTTTCTTCCTTTTAAAAGGAAGTTTTTCCTCCCCACTGTTGCCAAAGTGCTTGCTCATAGGGGGGGTCATATGATTGTTGGGTTTCTCTGTATGTATTACGCTCTACCTTACAATATAAAGCGCTGTATAAATAAAATTGAATTGAACTGAATTGAATTGATAAATAAAGGAATAAATACAAAATTATACCACACAGTGAAACATCTTTTGTTAAATTTTGTTTATTTGCTCCCATTACCAGTTTGTAGATCAGTATACTTGGTTACAATCTGGACATCTGTATCAGACAGCTTGGGATTAATTCCACGTAGTCCAATCTTTCCCAAGTAGGTTACAGTACCTCAGGCAGGTAACATTGTTAGCTATTATTAGGATAAAGTTTAGGCAGCTGAAATTCTATCAGGCACAGGAACATTAATCTGTAGCTGTTAAATCCATCTGTTAACTGTTTTAATTTCCAATGAGCATAATACTTTTTTTTTTCCCAAGTCTGAAATTATTGTTATGCAAAGTAGAAATCTGTCACAGAAACCTTACACTTGTTTTCTGCCTGAATTCTGAAGGTTTTACAATAGAGCAGAAAAGGAAATGCTTTTTTTGACAGTGCTAATCTCTTCTGAACCACAGCTGCTTACTCCATGATTTAATCGGCATGAAAACGTTAAGCCCATTGTGCTTGTTAAAAAATGAAGCACAGGTTGGGAAAATCAGATTTAGCTTGACAGCAGAGATCAGGTTTCCACTGCGTATGCTCCTAATCTGTATTTGGGCTACCTGTTAAGACTGTGCATTAGCACAAAGGTAATTGGATTTGGCAGAAATAACCCCATATCCTATCTTGTAGCTGTGTTTTTTTCCTTAGACATCATTCCAGTTTGGAATTAGACTGCTCTGAACCGCTGACACTCACGTATGTGATTGATGTTGTTTTAATTATGAAATAAATTTATGTGAATAAATATTTAGAACACCTGCATGTTTCCACAAAGTAGCACCATGAAACGTGCAGGGGTAGTCATATAACATGACTTAGCCATCCCTCTGATTGGAACAAGGGTTTCTTCAGCAATGAGTCTTTGTACTTCCAAAATATGAATTCTAACATAACATTACCACATGGGAGGCCACAAGCCTGTATACTCCTAGTGCCCAGATAAATGGGGAGAGTTGTGTTAGGGAGGGCATCTGGCATAAAATCTTTGCCAAACCAAACATGCGGATGAAGAAGAATGAGATTTCCATACCAGATTGGTTGGGGCTCGGGTTAACGATCATCACTAGAGTGCCGGTGGAAACTGTTGGCCAAAGACAAAGGAAGAGGGGAGGTGAAGGTGTGTTTGGAGGCAACACGAGAGAAGGAAAAGCAGGAGTGAGGAGGTGATTGTGGGGCCTGGTTCTGCCAGAAGTTTTAACTGTTAAAAGTTTTTCCTTCCCATTGTCACCAAGTCTCATCTGATTGTTGGGGTTTTTCTCTGGATAGTTGTAAGGCTCTTTAAATTGGAATTTAAAGTGCCTTGAGGTGACTGTTGTGAGTTGGCACTAAAAAATCTAAATGAAATTAATTGTTTTTTCCAGTGCCTTTAACATCATCCAATCACTTTTGCTGAATGAGAAGTTCCTCGGGATCAGTGACAGCACTTCAGCTGTCTCCTGTTTCCCAAGGCTGAAACCATCATTGGTCAGAATTTGGATGCGTTCAAGTCTTTGAGGGACAGGAGGTCACTGAACAAACTGCTCTCCATCATGGACAACCCATCTCTCCCACTCTACACTACTGAGGCAGCAGAGCTCACTGCCATAAAGAAGCCTTCAGGAAATCATTCCTACTGTTCTCCAAGGAACTGTACAGTAACTCTTCCATCTGCGACGGGTGAAGACACCTGTTAGGTATCAGATTCCACACATATTTCTGTATTATACCTTCGACTCCACCACCTGGCCTGGCCGTTCTGTGTGGAGTTTGCTTGTTCTCCCTGGATTTGCACGAGTCTTCCTCCCAGTGTTTAAAGACATGCAGTTAGTGGGTTAAGTTCAATGGTAAATCTAAATTGGCTGTGAGTGTGAATGGGTGCCTTTCTCTCTGTGTAAGCCCTGTGTTTGGTTGGCGATCTGTCCAAGGTGTATCCAGCCTCTCACCCTATGGTAGCTGGGATACACCAGTGACCCTGAGAAGTGGACGAAAATAGACGGATATTATTTAAAAATGCAATTTGCAAAACCTCAGTCTTAGTTTTTAATCTGAAGTTAAACTTTAACATTTTGTATTTTTATTTTTTTTTTTAATAACACAGACTTTAGACTGTGTGGTGTCTCACACAGGTTCTCACATTTGGCTTTGGCACTTAAAACTGTTTATGCTACTGCTGTAAAACCAATAATTGCCCTTGTGGGATCTCTTTCTCTCCATTTATAAAGGACAGCACAGGTTGAACAGGTTGGAGAGGCAAGTCTGAGATGATCTGGACACCTGAGGAGGGTTAGTGGAAAGCAGACAGTCGGACAATAGGACAAAAGGAAAAACAAAAAACAAACTAGTATTTATACAGTAAATATGAAGGAGGGCAGGAAGAGGGTTGGTATGACAGGATGATGCTAAGGATAGGGTCCCCATATGTGATTCTTCAAATTTCAATATCGATCTGATACAAATGAAATAAAATACCAGTGTTGGTACTGATACGATTTCGGCCTAAGGGTACATCTGTCACCATCTTCCAATGCTGTGATTGCAGCCAACTCTCTGTGAATGGTACTCATGGCCATTGATCAGTGGTTGTTGATCAAAGGTCATGAGAATTTGCATAATCATGATGAAGGAACTGATCTCCCAGCCCACTGTTCCTTCACTGGGCTGGTTTCAGTCATTATGCAAATGTACCGTTTATAAGACTGGGGAAATCTGCAGTCAGTTGAGACTGAAGAAGTCACTTGGATGAGTGACGAAACGTTTCTCCCACTGAAAATGCTACGTCTAGATGAACAGAATCAACCTTTGGAGAGATACTGATACGATTGATATTTGGACCAATCTGCCCACTTCAAATATCTACATGTGTATTAAGATGTACTGGTAGGTCCTCATTATCAGAATACTTTATTGATCCCTAGGGGAAATTATTTTTTGTTACAGTGCTCCATTATAAACAAACATTAACAGAAACAGACAATACACCAACTAAGAGTAGCACAATATATATACAGGCTAGGGATGCACCGATA